AAAGAATTCCCATCAGAGTCAAAACATGTAGACTCCTTCCAATCGAATTCCTGTTTTGAAAGCTCAAGATATGTTGCTTTATCAACACAATTTTTTTGATAAGCCTCATATGAAGTCATTTCAGCTCCTGTTTCGACATCTACTACAGAAATTTTATGACTTTTCTCTGCTGATGGGCTACTTATTTTCCTTTCACCAACTGGAAGCACAAAGCATTTACTGCTTACACTGAACAAACACATTTTCAGCAAATCACAGTAATACATAGCTTTCCTGTTATTTGGATTGTGAAAACATTTTGCATTACTAGAAGGTTCATGTAAAAATTTTAAAATTGTGTTATTAAGCAAGCCAAGCTGCATGGCAGTTTCTGGAGGTACACGAACACTTCTTACGGGATCGATGACCCCCCCACTTGCAATTTGAGCCTCAAGGATATTTTTACCTTTTTGTCTTTCTAATAGTCGAGCTTCCATAGCCTGATACACAGAGATCACTTTCCCAGAACAGCAATAGCCCAAAACAGCTTTCTCTGCCTCAAGCAGTCTACTCTTGAATTCAGTATCTGCAAGCCCTCTAACCACCGAATCATCGACAGAGAATTTCTGACCTGTTGTGGGATCAATGATGAAACCAGTAGCTGCTTGGGCCTCTAAAAATGCTAATGCCAATGCTTTTCCTATGATTCTTCTCTTTGCTGCTAAAGCAAAAGAGAGTATCTCTTTGCTGGATTCAAGGTACAGCCCAGCTATAGCTGTAGGTTTAGTTAAAAATTTTTCAAGACTTTTCTGAACCTCATCAATAGTTTTCTGCCCTGAATGGAGCTGCTCAACTGTGAGCCTGTCTAAAAGTTTAACTTCGGTCAACTGTCTGGCAGTTACATCATGTCGGAGGCCTTGAAATTTAATATCATCATATTCCTCTGTAAAATATTCCAACTGAGTAGCATCATCAACAGTTTTAAAAATCTCTTCCCCTAAGAAAGAGCTCATCTTTGCAAAGTCTTCTTTCCTAAACCCTTCGGATGTTTTGTATCCCTCAAACATTCTCTCTTCATTACCAAAAGTCTTGTCATTTTCTTGGCTTAATGTTGTGACTTCAACATGCATGTCATATTGCTTGTTCTTCACTATCTGTAAACAGGAATTTTTTTGACACAGTGAGAAATACATCTGCAGAACTATAGTGTACATAACTCACTGCTAAATCCACCACCAGAGAAACAAAAAGGAGAACTTGAATGTAAGCCAGAAAGGAGAACTGCTACTAGCACTGGAGAGCAGAGAAATACAGATAGCTAGAGTTCTAAAGTGCACTTGCCATTTTTATTTATTCAATAACAGGAATATGACTAGACTAAGCAACAATAACTGTTGTTTGTTACTACAGGAATTTAGTGCCATTAATCAAAGTTTATTTTGACCAATCATGATACAATGGTGTATGCGAATTCCTTTTCCAACACAAACTTTTAAAATAATGTGTTTCTTAGCTATTAACACACTGCTACAAAGGTCTAATGAAAAGCTTTTCGTGTCATGTAAGAATGAAGGGGTTCCCTTCACCAAGGTAAGAACTTAAGAAACATTAGCGAGAATACAGAAAAGTGATACAGTATAACTAAAACAAACGAACAAATAGAATAGTAAAAACCAGCACTAGGAAGGCAAACCCTTACAAAACGTAGTGTGTACCTCCAAGGGATGCAGTTTTACCACTCCTAATTCATGTTTCATGTCTTCTCCATGTCTAATAGTTTGTCTGGAAATGTGTAGGTTCCTGTTTCTCAGTTTGTCCCTTTCCGATGTTCCAGAGATTTGGCTTGCTTTATCAAAAGTTATCTGGAACTGCGTACTTGTTTCAGAAACAAACTCTGCAAAAGATTGTGCGCTTGAATCTTCTAGTGATTGGTTTATTCTTGACATCTGGAACTGCACCTCTCTTGGTGTCGTATCATCAGCACTCACGTATAATGTATTTCCTTCTGTTTGATCAGATGTAAAACCTGATCTCTCCTGTTTCTGCCTCAACAAAGGTGAGCTAGGTTTTGCATGTGGAGGAAGCTGTTCACGTTCTCTAGTGGTGGTGTCACTCAGGTAATTGAAATCATTTCCTCTTCTCTCACAGCTCAATTTAAATCCAGAATCTTGGAGATTATTATTTTGCTGAACTTCATTCTGAAACAAAAGAAACCTGTGTTCATTCTCCCTGACCTGCAGATCCATCTTCTGCTTCATGCTCTCAACCATGCGCTTCTGCACTTCCAATTCTTGCTCAAGTTTCCTACACTTCTGGTGATAGTCCATTTCTGCCTGCTTCCCTTGCTGTAGTTGTTCATGACATTTTTTAAGCCTTTCCTGCAGATCTTCCATTTGTATCTTGTACAACATGATACTTTCCTCAGCC